AGGACAACCGACTCGTCCCTCCGTTGGCGCGGGAGCCCTGGCGCAAGCTAGGGCGGCCGGGCGGCGTCGTGGTGAATGTTCACTGATCCCACGGCGCCGGCTCAACCGGCGAGAGGGAAACCCGGGGGGGTTTTAGTGGGGTAGGCCTTCCAGTGTGGAGGGAGAGTCCCCACATAACCCCTGAGTCTCCCTGGGCTCAGGGGTATCCATAAAGATTTCCCCCCGTCAAAAAAAAAAAAGGTTGCTAACAGATTGGCTGTATGTTTGCAGTTAATGCGTGACGTCGTAATCAACTTCATGTAGCCGAGACCTCGACTGCATGAAGTTGACTTCATACAATCGAGGTCTCGGGTAACGACTTCACGCATTAACTGCATGCATTCGAAATCGACTTCATGCAGCCGAGATCGACTGCATGATCGAATGCATTAATAGCAACTTCACGCAGCCGAGACCTCGACTGCATGAGTTGATTTCACGCAGTAACTTCATACAATTAAGGTCTCGGATAACGACTTCACGCATTAACTGCATGCAGTCGAAACCGAATGCATTATCAACTTCAAGTATTTGAGGTCTCGGCTGCATGAAGTTGATTACGTCTTCACTCATTAACTGCAAACATGCTGTCAATCTGTTAGCAGCCTTAGGCCCTTGGGATAAGAGCGAAAAACACGTTGTGTGTTTGGCTTATGTCAAGTTGCGTGTCACGTCGCCGTCGACAAGGTCATGTTCGCTCTTGTTACGTGGATGTAACGTGGATGAACTCGCCGGTTCTATATCGCTTCGATAAGTGTGATGATTCTCAAACATAGAAATTCCGTCATCCTCAAACAATATTGCAGTCCATATCAAAAACCGTAAAACTAAGGCTAATAATCCTTTTTAAGTGTTATTAGAAAAGCAATTTCATCCCGTAAAGCCTGACATTTTCGTTTAAACCCGACCATAAAGGATATCATAGCTACAGCCACCAATCCATTAATTTTAATATACCATTTTATAAAGTAATAAAAGTAATAGAACTTCCCGCAAAGATAATTTAAATTGTAATTCGCAGAAGGTCTTTTTTTCCAGAGGGTGGAAAAAAGCCGCTTTTATAATCATGTGGGTGGAGCCCGTAGTAACCGGTATTTTTTATTTTACTCTGTAGTACTAACAGACATACATTTTTAATAATTATATGGTGAATTTTCTCGTGACAAATCATAAATTAAATACTAAATAAAAAGTATTAATTATCCCAGAAAACTAAACCTAATTTGGTACACAAAGCTTTTAGCACAGAACCTATAATCATGTAACCATTCCTTTCTATTTATTTCGTTCCACACATATTTAATCGCTGTCAGAAGTATTTCTTTTGATTGGGTGGGCCGTGGGTGGGAATTATAAGGATTTAAAGGAAATTACTTATGTATACAAATAATTTTGCTATATTGTATTACATGTATTAAAGCGTATTTACAAAACCACATTTATTGTAAATTTAATGATACCTTTTAAAAATTCTTTTATAATAATTCAATATCGGGTGAAAAATATAAACGGTAAGTAGTCATGACATGATTCGAAAACTGTAATTAGTAATAACCGGTTAAATATTTCTATGTTTTTCAATTAACAGACCTATGTTGTTAGTAGTATGGCAAAAACTGCTTAACTATATATATTTTATTCAGTATACAATCGATAGACTATATTGTACATACAAGATAAAAATGCTAATCCGATCATATTTACAAGACCAATAAATTTTCCACTAATAAATACAATGATAAATATATTATATACTTAAGCCTACTATATAGGCTGTTATTAAAATATACGTGTAGTATGTTATATGATAAGAAAAATATTACAGTGAAAGAATTTATCGTTAAAAAAATAGATTCGGTAATTGAAGAAATTTAAAAATCAAATTAAAATGTACAATTGATATTATTATACATGATTATTTTTAAAATACAAACAACCTCGTAGGACTATATCAATAACATCATAAACAATAACTTTTGTTCCACGACTTTTAAGAATTCATCAGATTTTACTTTCACACAAAAATAAATAGATTTAAATAAATCGCTCTAAACGGTAATAACTCTGTGCAGGACGGGAATGTGAGTGGTCGCGGAGAACGCTTGCACTTATTCTATCTACTTATTCTGAAGTTATTCTATCAAATACAGATCTAAAAAGTATCAGATAGTACAACAAAAACTTTATTTTTGGTAAATTTATTATGTTTTGTAAAAAGTCATGGAACATAAGTTGTTGATTATGATGTTAGTAATACAGTCCTGTGAGGTTGTTAGTATTTTAAAAATAATCCTGTATATTATAGTAGCAGTGAAAATGAACGTAAAGGTTTTTTTATTATTTAATTCATTTAATAACAGCCTGTATAACTTGGAAGCACACAGAAGTATAGATACATACATTTTCTTACAATTGTTTACAATCCAGTATTTTTTTTATACGAAAAATTCAATTATAATCAGCAACGAACAACATTTTATATAATACAAGGCATTTGAAAAACATTACACTACACATTTATTTCATAATTCAAATAATCGTTATAACAAATATGTACTTCCAAATATCAATTATAAACAATTTTTATATTAAAATTATTAACACATAATTAAATATTATTGTTATACATATTATATAAAACACCGATATTAATTACGCACGTCGGAATACAAAACGCATCGATTGCCGCTGCGGTAAACGAAAGAGAAGTAAAGTCGTATTATATCTACTGATTTTATATTAATTCTTCTATTTCTATTCTATTAAACCTGTAGTTTCCAAAATACAGCTGTTAGTTTACATACAGAGGGGAATACAAACATAGAAGTTCAAATAAGGAGCACCTCATTTGTGTGAAAATCAAATAAACAAATTTTAATAGATTTAAACGCTCATTTAATATAATTTTCACTTAGACTTTTTTTATTGAAATGTAAGTGTCCATTTGACCTCCACCTCACCTGATGGAAAGTGACGATGAGGTCGACGATGGAACATGCACACCTAAATAATACCTATTCACTCTCGCCTTGAAAAAGTCCAAGTTATAAAGTCAGGGAACTCATCAGGGAATTCATCTTTCATTTTTCACATTCCACTCCACAGCTGTTCGCCATATAAATGTGGAAACGTAACGTTTCGTGCAAATACACTTTCTATAACTTAATTTCATATAATTTTCGTTTGTAATAGTATTCACATTTTATAAAAACATTTGTACATTGCGCCTCGTCTTTAGTGAGGTTAGTTTAGTTAGTATGTATGAAAAAGCAGACCAGAAACGATTTGTTGTTGCGTTTCTGAATATGTTTTATAATCATTCTATCGCAGTCCACTGGTGGACATAGTTTTCTCTCAATGCGTGCCATTTCATTCGGTGTGAGGACCGGGCGCATGCTGACAGCAGCCTTTCGTAAATCGTCAGTCCATCTGTTTACCGAGTTGTGGTCTCCACTCCACTCAAGAACTCGCTTCCCCGATCGATTATCGGTTCTTCGACAGATATGGCCAAATTTATTTCAGTTTAATAATCTATCTAGTTATGTAAGCTAAAATATGTAATTGTTATATAAAATGAGTGCTAGAGTTAATGATTGTTATCAAAAATGAAAATGTAAGTAATTGTAATTGTAAGTTTATATTAAACGTTCGCTAAATTAAGTGACTTGTTATACAAAAAAACAATAATTACGTTAAGTAAAATTACATTAAATGAGCTTCTGTTAAAATAAATCTTTAAACTACAATGTACATATACATATAAAGAAATCGATTATTGGAGTTAAACTAAACGAGTGGATCCAAAGTCTCCAAAGGTGTAACTAAATTATCCGTGTGTCGCGTCGATTACTATGAGAGCGTTTGCGCACTAATTCGTATCAGGGGGTCTACTCTCGATCTCCGTCCGACATCCGTCCGAAACAATTACTGCCAAATAAGCAATTGACCAAATGAAAAGACGCGTAATGCGAATGAAGCTTCATACTGGATACTTGTCTTTTAATTTTGTCGAATATTACTTATTTGACAGTAATTGTTTCGGACGGATGTCGGGCGGAGATCGAGAGTAGCCCCCCAGTTCCGGATCCGAGAAATAACGGTCCGAAATGACACAAGTATCCGAAGCGTCATTTTAACTCTAGGTGTACAAGCGATATTCGTATTTTCTCGGATTTTAATCGGACTTAGTGCACAAGCGACATCCGAAGTGGGTCCGAGTTTTCTAGATTTGTACAGTTTTGGATTTGGAACGAATACCAATCGGATGCTGTGCGCAAAGGCGCTAACGGGTAAAGTCTAATAATCAAGGTCCAAGTAAAATGAAGCATCGTGGGACAATCAATAAAGGATTTCTGACGTATATCCTACACAACAAAATATCAGGTGCTATTATCAGTAGGTAACGGTGGTCCACACCTAAAGATATCAAATTTTGATGACCTTGGTGGCCTAACGGTTTACAGTGTGGGCACTGGAAGCGGAGGTCTCTGGATCGATTCGCGGTTGGACCAATTTGGCAGTTGAACTTTTCTTAATTGGTTCTGGTCGGGGTGTTCTGGGATGTGTCCCAGAGTGATTTCCATTGCTCTGGTACTCATAGTACAGAAAAGACCAGCCAGGTAATTGGTATAGTTTTCTGGCACATTATTATTAAAAAAATATATATACATATATTTGTTCAGATTTGTACTTTATGTCATTTACGTAGGGTAAAAGAAAATGTACATAATGAGTTAAGGAGACTCGACTTATATTCGAATTCTGTTGTATTCTCTTTCGCACACGTTTTAATATGATATGAGAAAAAGGGAAAACAAAAAACCCTTTCAATGTAATTTAGAACCTTAAACCTATTCGATTTACCGACCACCGCTGCGGTCAACGACGTTTGTTTCCCACCCACTTAATTAACAGTTACAAAAATAAATCTGACTATATCTTTAAGTATTTACCTATTTTTACGTCTGCCGAATTAAAGTTAAACGGAATGTTTAAATAATACTTTATATTACACTTTAGTTGCAATTTGATTCACAAGGTACTCGTATATGCGAATCTGAAAAAGAAAATTTCATGATTATAATTTAATTTACAATAAATAAAGCAAAATACGGGACAAATAAATTTAACATATTCAATATAATTATGCAGTATTGCGACAATGTTTCATAATAAATATATTCGATATTTTCATTTTTTTAATTGAATAATTTATTGGTATTTTTACTACCAGGATATTCATATTTTTTGTGATAATACTCCATTAGTTTTAATTATTAATACAAAAAATTAACTCTTAGAAAAAGAATCCTGCAGTCCGGCTGCTCTAGCTGCGTTCTAGCAAACCGTGTCAGACGCTATGCCAACTAAGCCACGGAATGAATAGATTTCTCACAGATGGCACTACGGCAAAAAGTCGTTAAAAACAAGCACATAGAAAAGTTCATAAGGTCCGCTGGTTCGTTCCGGGTCTTAGTTGGCACAGCGTCTGCGACGGTTAGATATATGCTATTATGGATAAACATGTCGCTGACCACCAGCCTCACGGCTTGTAAGTCGTGCTCATGTCGTGCTACTCTTAGAAACAAATTCCAATTTTGGTAATTGTTCAAAATTAACAAGTATGTACAGTAACACAAAACGCAGTTCGGAAAAGCGAATTAGGTAATAATTAAACAACAATTCACCCAAAGTAGCGCAATTACGTTACAAAGATCTCATTAGTTAAGGATTCCAACCGAAAATATATAAATATTGAGCTAAAACCTGCTTCAAAGATGGGCGAATATTTTCAAACCCGTTTTATTGCTTCACATATTATCCAGTGTTTGGGGTAAATTCTGTGCAAATCCTTTTCATGGAATCTGAATGGGCTTATAACGAGAACGCACAAAGCGGTTTATTTTATCGTCAGAGTCGGAGCATTAAAATGAAATTTGCGCACAAAGAAAACAATCTCTATAACATATCGGGTGGCCAGGCACACAATTTTACTGGTCGTAAACTTAATGCCTTTCTGCGAATTGCGAAACAACCAATAACATAAGTTATTCACTATGATACATGGCACATAAGGGATGTTTCCATCATAATGATTAAATATATTTATATATCTTTTTAAACTTTTCATATTTTAGACATGATTAAGAGGCCAAAATTAAACTGTTTGGGCTCATATTCAACTTAACATTGGGTAGTACGCCACAGTATTTGGCAGATAAATTGAACTGGAATGATATTGTTCACATGTGACGCCCTGCAAGGGCATAGCAACTGCAGAAGACAGAGTTCTTTTCTTTCTTGTATATTGCTTAATACATTACTTTATAAACTGATACTAATTTTTATTATTATTAATTTTTACAATAACATCACTATACTATATTGAATTATACTGAATACCAAATACATACATTATACGTTCAATCGCTTGTAATTGTTTTAAAAATAAGGTCATTTTATCAAATCGTCAAAAAAAATTCAGAGGCAGCTTCCGTTTTGCACCTGTAAATGTTGTAATGACCTTCCACTACCGGTGAAGACGGTTAAGCCTTTTTATACTTTCAAACAAAGTACCAGGAATGGCTTATTTTGCAACAGAAGTCGTCATGTTGCTTGTCAGGGGGTCTACTCTCGATCTCCGTCCGACGTCCGTCCGAAACAATTAATGCCATATAAGCAATACTTGACCAAATGAAAAGACGCGTGATGCGAATGAAGCTTCATACAAGATACTTGTCTTTTAATTTTGTCGAATATTACTTATTTGACAGTAATTGTTTCGGACGGATGTCGGACGGGGAATGGTAGTCCGTAGATGCCTGGTAACAGCCATTTGTATCCTTTGTCGTCCTGAATACATTTGTTTGTTTTTGCTTATGTGTGTATTATTATCACTCGTAACCAGTAAATAAATAATTAGATTTTAGTTAAATTAACGTTGTTTGTTTTATTGTAGACCTTTTGTTCAAAATTGTGTTCCGACAATGTCCGACAGAGAACACAGGCGGAGACTGAAAAACAACACTGTGCTGATGCTTCGTCCTTTTCATTACTCATAGCATATCTATGCTCATGTGATTTTCTATATCTACGTGTGTGTGTGTGTGTTTGATGAATAAATGCCTATTTAAGCTAATAATGTCTTTCTGTTGAAGTTAAAAAAACGACTCAGGAATGAATCCAGGAAATTAGCATCATCATCAACTTTTTTTTATTATACATATATGTGGTGACTGCCTCTGTGGCCGAACGGTTACCATGCTGCTACGCAGATGTCCCGGGTTCGATTCCCGGGCCGAGAGAAATATTTGTATGGCCTATATTTATTTCTCTCGTGAGAATGAGTGCAATTTGTGATTGACGTCCCACTGCTGCGTATGGGTCTCATCTCAGGCGACCGTTTAGGCCATAGTCCACCACGCTGGCCCAATGCGGGTTAGGGACTTTACACATTTTCCGAGGCTTGTAAACCTTTGTCGATGTACAGGTTTTATCACGATCTATCTTTTCCTTCACCGAAAAGCTTTAGGTAAATTTCAAATTAATTTCGCACATGAATTCCGAGAAACTCAAACCATTAAGGCTACAAAGGCATACTTATTCTCTTATTATGGTCTCTTCTTTTTCCACAAATAAGTATACCATTATAGTATGTTATTTAAATTTTTGGGCGTCTGTTTTTCCAGAACGTAGGTTTCTGAAGAAAAACTGAAGCTCATGACAGATTTTTTTAGAGTTGATATTTTTTAAATAGTTTTCTGCTGTATTTGGGGGAAATACAGCGCCTCTAATCGAAATAGAATATCTCAATTTTCACTTATTATATCCAGTTGTTAGGTTTTCGCGATTGTCACACATAGGAAATGAAACTGTTTTTGCGGATTTAAACCAGTCAAATTTGTTTTTTCAAACAAACTAAAAGGATTGTTTGGAAAAAAAAGTCAGCAATTTAAATCCGGAAAAATGGTTTTAGTTGTTATCTTGAGAACTTGTATCGAGTTTTTTTTTTGTTGCATCGATTACAGTCTAGAGACCCCGTAAAATATTTTGGCCTTTAATTTATTTTCTTAATTTCTTAGAAGGATTCTCTTTTGTTCTAAAATTTAATTTATTAGTTTTCTAATAAAAAAATTAAACATACCTTTAGAAGTTCTCTATTGCTATTATTATAAGTTACTTTAAGCATGGTATATTCAATTATTATAAGACTTGAAGTTGGTCCCATAATCTTATGAGGTTTGCTTCCACAAACTTGTTAGTTGTTGCTACTTAGTGCCACTCATACTTACGAGCATACTCAGACTTTGTCGTATACAATATAAGTTTTAGGAAGAATTAATTTATTATTGTTACTTTTTTGTGTCATTATGTGGCTAGAACTACTACACAGGAGGATAATTGCTCCCATTAATACGAAGAACTCTTTTGTTATGATAACCCTTTTGAAAACACGAAAAAGGATGCTGTAAGTATAAATATATAGTAGAACGTATATTTATAAGTGGGCATAGTTATGCAAACTACAACCAACCCACAAAATTGTAAAAACAGTGTGAAGAAATAAATAGGTTAATTATTTAAGACAAACGACGTGAGTTATACTTACTATATTATATACGTTCTAGCGTATCTAATGCATCTCTGGGGTGATAGCGATAAGTCTGGATATTGCTAAGGCCTTTGATCGGGTCTGACACCGTGGTCTCCTCTCCAAGCTTCCGGCATATGGTCTTCCCGGCCGCCTTTGTGAGTGGATCTCCGGCTTTCTGCGCGAG